GAGAATTTGACTCTCTTTTACCTAGTCCCCTTCCCTCTGAAGGTGGAGAGCATATTTTCTTGTTACGGTGTAGACAAGCCTGTCACCTTGTCCTAACAGCCCAGACTTGGGGATGTTCTGTTCCCCTCTCTGTTCGCGGGACCTAGGGGAGGGTGTAACTTGCATGTGGGGAGGCTGGTTCCACTGTGGTTGATGTAAAGTGTTGGCAGTTAAGACTGTTTTTGTGTGCTGCAAGTTCACTTGCATGCAGCAGGTACCAAATAAAGGCAGCATGGTAGACTAGTCAGAGGGGAGCCCTACAGAGCCTGGCCCTGCTCTGAGCTCTGGCATCCCAACTCTTGTCCTGGGCACTAATCTCCTTAGTGCTGGTGATTTAGCTGATGTTTGCTGTGGGGTTTTTCTTTTTTGGCAGGTGGCTTTCCATGCTGGGTTTGGGATTAGTGTCAAAAGATGCATCTGGGGAACACTGAATAATGAGTGCCCTGCCCTTTTCTCATGGTGGGATCTGGTCCAGATGCAAAGGTGACTCTCTGCAGGGTGGGAGGGTGGGGGGGGTAGGAGGCTTTTTTGTGATGCCAGGGAAGAACAGCGGGGAAAGACCTGTCCTCTGACACAGCTCAATTGGTAGGGTGTTTGTCTAGTGTGCAGAGCCTCAACACTGCATACATCCGAAATGCTTGCACTTCCAGCACTCTCAGATGGAGACAAGAAGATCAGAAGTTCAAGGACATCCCTGTCTATGTAGTTTGAGGCCAGCCTGGGCTAAACAAGATCCTGTCTCAAAAGAGAAAACAAAAACAAACCCTAAAAATACAGACACGTGTGTGGGCACACTATTAAGATGGCTCAGGGGTTAAGAGCACTGCTGTTATAGTTTATTTCTTTATTGTTGTTTTGAAATATGGTTTCTCTGTGTGGCCCTGGTAGTCTTGAAACTCATCCTGTAGACGAGGCTGGCCTCCTGAGTGCTGGGATTAAGGGTGTTTTAACACTGAACCTGAGTTTGGTTCTCAATTCCCACATTGGGAATTGAAACACCTGTAACAACAGCTTGAAGAGAACACACACACACACACACACACACACACACACACACACACACACACACAGAGAGAGAGAGAGATGTATACATAAAACTAAAATGAAGGCTGGGCTGTGTGCCCACGGCTTTAATTTCAGTACTTGGGAAGCAGAGGCAGGCAGATCTCTGTGAGTTCAAGGCCAGCCTGGTCTACAGAATGAATTTCAGGACAGCCAGAGCTACAAAGAGAAAGCCTTTCTGAAAAACCAAAAACAACACAACAAAACCAAAAACACACACACAAAACAACCCCCCCCAACACACAAAAACACCTTAAAAACTTGTCAGAGTGGGAGTGGGCTTTAGCAAGCTTGGATGCTGCTGATAGGCCTGTCCCCTCTCTGCTCCAGCATGGTAGGGAACAGCTCTGTCTACAGATAACTCTTTTTGTTTGCTTTGTTTGTTCATTTCATTTATTTTATATGTATAAATGCTTTATCTGTGTGTGTATGTACACCATGTGCATTGGATCCCCAGAACTGGACAGTTGTGAGTCACTGTGTGGGTGCTGGAAATTGAACCCCTGCAAGAGCAGCAAATGCTCTTAACCAGGGAGCTATCTCTCCATATCCCTGTTTTTGTATTTTCACAGATAGCTCTTAATCCAGGCAGAGATGGGGAATGTTCTGGGCTCTCCGCCAAGATGTTCTGCAGGTCTGCTGGGCTGTGTTATCTTTCAGCCGGGGATTGAGTGCTGTTGACTTCTTAGGAAGGGTCAGGCCCATCTGGTCTGAGGTGTGTGTGTTATTTGTCTAGGCCTGAGTGTGAGGTCTCCTGCCTGCCCTTGGGTACATGTGCCTGCTGGGTTAGTTTGAAGGAAAGGGGAGAGTCCCCAGTTTTAGAAGAGCCGACAGGGCAGTGTCAGGTACACCCTCTGTCCTGACCCTAATATGGCTGGTCTGCCCATGGTTCCAGCCTGTTTGTGAGCAAGAAATAAAGCAACAGCAACGAAAGTTAGGGGAGGGTGGGCACAGTCTTTGAAAATGGGAAGCTCTGCTTGGACTGCAGTCTCAGCTAGCATTGAGTCCATGGTTGGTTCTGTTTAAAGTGTACTATGTTTGATTGTGGGCTGTCTCTTAATTCTTTAAATGACATTTAATTATTTATTTATGGATGGGTTGATTTTAGGATGTGGAGATCACAAGATAACTTTTGGAAGTTGACTCTCCTTTGCACCATGCAGATTCCAAGGGTCCAGCTGAGGTTGTCTAGCAGGCGCCTTACCTGCTAAATTACCTTTCTCACCCTGTGGGCTCTGTGGTCTTAAGTGAAGACTTTGGTTAATTAATATTGATTGTTCCCTGGAGTCACCTGACGTCTTTCCCAGGGAGTTCCGTCTTGCCAGGAACATACAAGTATATTCATGTTTGTAAATGCATACGTGAGTCACGTCAGGTATTATATATGCAGATTCAGTTTGATAATTTAGGTGTGTACAGTATTTTAAAAGCAAAAGGACCAAGGCTGGGAACTTAGTTCGGTTGGCAAAGTGCCTGCCAGTGTACAGGAAGTCCTAAATTTGACCCTAGCAATGATAAATGCCTATAATCCTAGCAGTTTTGGGGTAAAGGGTTAGAAGTTCAAGGTCATCCTTTGATATATAGAAAGTTCCAGGCCAACCTGGCTACATGAGATCCTGTCTCAGGAAGAAGGAGGAAAAAAGGGAACACTCTCTTGGCTAGTGACAGTAATGATTCTGGGATGGGACGTTTTCATTTATGGAGCCTTCTCTTCTAGTATGGAAATCAGTGTGTGCTGTCCCAGAGTAGGATTTTAATTTTTTTCTATATAGTTTGTCAACATAAAACCTTCCAGGAATATGTCATCCTTACAGTGGAGACCATCTCTTCCTCTGACTACTGAGATCCGTAATAACTATTTGACTGACTTAGTCATGTATAACAACCAGCTCCCCTGGCCTCCTGGGGTGCTTGCACCCATGTGTGCGTACTCACCCACAGACACCACTCTCGATGGACCCAAGGCCTCATGCATGCTAACCCTGGGCTCTAGGCTCAGCTCCCCAGATAGTGCTTTGATAGTTGCTTTTGTTTGTTTTTCAAGACAGGGTTTCTCTGTGTAGCCCTGGCTCTCCTGGAACTCAATTTGTAGACCAGATTGGTTTTTAACTCACAGAGATCTGCCTGCCTCTGCCCCTCATGAACTGAAATTAAAGGCAGGCACCATCACTGCCTTTTTAAAATAAAGGCCCTGTTGTGGCCAGAAGTGGCTCAGAAAGTACTTGGCTGCTCTTACAGGAATCCCAGCTTGGACTGGAGAGACAACTCAGAGGTTAAGAGAACAGACTGCTCTTCCAGAGGTCCTGAGTTCAATTCCCAGCAACCACATGGTGACTTACAACCATCTCTAGTGAGATCTGGTGCCCTCTTCTGTCATGAAGCCATACATTCAGGCAGAACACTGTATGCATAATAAAGGAATCTTAAAAAAAAAAAAAATCCCACCTTCCACGTATATATAACTATCTACAACTCCAGTTCTAAGGGATCTGACTTTGGCCTCCTCAGGCACAAGGCATGAACATGGTGCAGATAAACACATAAGTAAAAAGGAATGCATCTTTAAAAACTATAAAGTCACATTGGAGTACAATAAGCATTTAAAGTCTTGCTAGCTGTGACAGTACACTCCTGTAATCCCAGAGGCAGGAGGAGGAGAAGGGGGAGTTCAAAGGTCATCCTTGGCTACTTAGTTGCCTTTCCTGTTACAGTGATAAAACACTGACAAAGCAATTAAAGGAAGAGTTTATTCTGGCTCAGTGTTCAAGGGTGCAGTGCACTAGGCAGGAGCCTAAGGCAGTGGAGTCTTGAAGCAACAGGTCACAGCGGATCCAGTCAGCAAGTGGACAGCCCTGAATGCTGCTGCGCTATCTTCCTCAACTTAGACAGCCGGGATCTCAGTCTGGGGAATGCCGCCTCCTGCAGTGGGCCCATTTCCTAGGTGACTCTAGGTTCTGTCAAGCCTGACAATATCAACTATCATAATGAGATAATGAGTTCCAGGGTAACCTGGGCTCTATGAGGTTTTCTCTAAACAAACACGTTTCCCATTTATTTGCTGCTCTAGTCTCTCAGTGATAGGAGCAGTTATACGCATGGGATAAAATAATATTAGACCATTGTAAATTGAGATGAAGTGTGTTTTGTCTCTTTTGCATGGTCTAGACATTGTTCTTGGTGGTTATGTTTAAATGTGAACAGGATTTAATCAAGAGTGTTTGCAGTTAATATTGTTTTTATTAATTAAAAGCTACTAAAGAAAAATATTGCCGGGTGTTGGTGGTACACACCTTTAATCCCAGTACTCCAGGGAGCAGAGGCAGAGGCCAGGATTCCTTTTTGTAGCGTGTGGTTGGATTTCTTTTCAAGTGAGGAGTTACTTACCTAGCTTGTCATGTGGTAAAAGTGGTCCCTGAAATATGAAAATTCTGTGAAAAGTTGGGCTGGTGGCATGTAAAGGTACTCCATTGATACTTGGAATGAGACCAGAGCCATGTGTGGAAATACATTGATCGCCGTGTATTTGTAAGAAGATCTGTCTTATTGGCGAGAGTCCTGCAGTTCAGTAAAGTAACTGACTCCTGGGGATGTGTCTTTGACAGTTTGTTCATTCAGCAAATATCGACTGACTCTCCCTGTGCTCTGCATTTGTGCTGAGGCCTGGGGCTACTAAAGTCAGGTTGATCACTTAAATTCCTCCAGGTCTGGCCCGGAAGGGTAAGGGTGAGACAGCTCACGGCACACCCACACCTGGCAGGGGAAGCTGCCTGGGACTTTTAGAGCTGGGCGATTTTTATTGGTTGTTTAATTACATTAAATAGCTTTTACTGGTGGTAAACTAATCTCCATAATTACCAATGCATTCATTCATATCGGTGCTTCTCTTGTTGTGGCAGAAGATGGCTGTGCCTCCCACATATGCTGATCTTGGCAAGTCTGCCAGGGATGTTTTCACCAAAGGCTACGGTGAGTGTTGGAGGAGGGAGTCAGAGTAATGGAGACATGGAGGGCGTTTCACTTACTAACAGGGTTAGCATGTTTGGGACAGTTGGACAGTTGTCCAGTCAAAAGGACAAGCTTCCTGCAGCTTTGCGCCACCCAGTGGTGAGGTTCAGTCATTGCAAGACAAGTAGCTGATTAGTCTCTTGCAAGCTTTAGAGTCCGCCCAGTAGAATGCCGTTCTAAATTTAGCCTGATAGGCCCACCAGGCCTGATGACTGTGTCTCTGCCAGCTTCCGGGAACACCACCCCCCTGCACTGCCCTGCATGGGCACGGGAGCGCGCGGGGTGTGTGTGCCACTGTTGCATTGGCTCCCACAAGCAACAGCAAGGGTCAGGTGCCCCAGTTCTTAGGGCTGCGTTGAGTTTCTTTAAGCATTTCCAGATAGCCAGGAGGAAGGCAGAGCTCCTGGCTTCCCAGCTTAAGAATGGCTTTTATTTTTCTAGTGCTGGGGATCCAGCCAACCTAGGGCCTTGAGCTTGCTAGCAATTGTCCTACATCTGAGCTGTACCTCCAGTCCCTCTGGCTTAGTTAACTTGTTCATGGTTGTTTTTCTTTTTTAGGATTTGGGTTAATTAAACTTGATTTGAAAACGAAGTCTGAGAATGGATTGGTAAGTTGCTCAACTTGCATGGGACGGTGTATTTATTCCTGACCAGTAGGAGCTGTCGTGGCCAACCTGGCAGAGCCAAAAGCAGTTGCCTCTGTAGATTGTGGCTGTTTGTGCCTGTCCTATCATCATATCCCTGTGTGGTGGGTAGGTGGTCTGACTATAGTAACTGTTAATGTTCATAGGAAAATGAGAGTGGCCTCTGGTAAAATTGTCATTGTGTTTGCTGCTTTTTTTTTTTTTTTTTTTTTCCATGTTGTTTTGTGGTGTTGGAAAGAAATCAAACTCAGGGCCTAATGCTCTGTAGGCAAGTGCTCTTCCACTGACCAACACTTCTAGTCTGACCTGTTCTTGGTGTTTCTTACTTTAAAAATGACCTTTCCCTCTCTTTTTTTAAAAAGTAGTTATTTCACTTTATTTTATGTGCATTGGCCTGAAAGTGTCAGATTCCCTAAAACTGGAGTTACAGGCAGTTGTGAGCGGTTGTGTGGATGCTGGGACTCGAATCCACGCCCTCTACAAGAACAGTAAATGCTCCAAACCACTGAATCTTCTCTTCAGCCCTATTGACTTCTGTTTTTATTTATTTTAGCTTAGTTGTTTGAGGCAGGGTCTCTCTACATGACCCTGGATGCCCTAGAACTTATTATGCAGACCAGGTTGGCCTCAAATTTAGAGATCCACCTGCCTTTACTTCCTGGGTGCTGGGATTAAAATGTGTGTCACCTGTGTCTTTAATGTTTACTTATGATTAGGAAACACCTTACAGCAGTTGTCAGAAGGAGGAGTATAGTATGGGGTTTAGAATTCTACTGTGTCAGGTTTTGCTCAATGGCTCTCTCTGTCTGAGGCTGGAGCCAGCGTGGAAGCTGGTTGGTTTCCTGTCCAGACTTCAGGGCCCTAGTGGGGAAGGAAGCTGTCTTCCAAAGATCTCCCCAGAAGGTTCCTTTTGGTAGTGGGCTCTTCCACTCCTTTGTATTTTCAGTATCTGACTGAACTATACAAATAATTTTGCTTGGACATGCCGGGGACTCTCTGTTGTTTAAGGGCATAGAGAGATCCTGAGGGCAGCTAGACTGTGGGCCGAGAGGTACCCGTGGCAGCTGGTCTGCATGGTGAGAAGTACTCAGGGCAGGCTGATAGATACTCTCTCTCCTTTAAGGAATTTACCAGCTCAGGCTCCGCCAACACAGAGACCACCAAAGTGAACGGCAGCCTGGAAACCAAGTATAGATGGACCGAGTACGGGCTGACCTTTACAGAGAAGTGGAACACAGACAACACCCTGGGTACTGAGATCACTGTGGAGGACCAGGTAAGGCCTGCCAGCCAGAGGGTCTGGCTGCACTCATTCCCATCACAGCAACCACAGACTTTCCCTCGTTAACCTGTATCACCCTTCTCTTCCGTGCAGCTCACTCGCGGACTTAAGCTGACCTTTGACTCATCCTTCTCACCTAACACTGGGTAAGGTTCTCGCCTTTGTCCCATGACGACATTTTAGGATGTTTGGGGCCTTGGAAGTCCTTCATGACCAAAATCAGTGTCATGGATAACAATCACATGGCCTCTAAACTGGAGGCCAGAGGGTGGGGAGGGATTGTGGGGGGTCAGGGCCAGCCAGGATTATGTCGTGAGATTCCATGGCAAAGAACAAAAACCAACCAGACAACAACAGTCAGGCTGCCTTGGTCCGAGCTCTATACATTCTGAGTTCTGTGGTGGTGGTTTGGCTGCGACACATCTGTTAATGGGCTATGCTGTATCAAGGGTTAAGAAACACATTTATCTAACACGTGGTTTTGTGTGTTCCTATGCTCATTTGGGGGTTGAGGGTGCCTGGGCCAGGATGCTGTTTGCCCCAAGGAGACCCAGGGTCTCCTGTAGCCCAGGCTAGCCTTCAACTTGTTATATAGGCAAGTCGGACCTTGAACCTCTTTCTGAGCCTTCTGCTTCCATCTCCCAGCTCTGGGATCACAGATGCATGCTACCATATCCAGTGTCTGGGGTGGTAACAGTGAGGCCAGGGCTCGTGCACCCCAGGTGAGCACTACCCATTGAGCTGTGTCCCCAGGGCTAGGGATTGTCCTTGGCAGTAGAGGACTGAGACCAGGGTTCTATGATCCCTCGATGTCACTGTGTGCCTGGCTGCAGGCTGCAGGCTTTCTTTCTCTGTTGATCTGTTTTACTCAAGTCTGCCAATAATGAAAGCGCAAAGACTGAAGGGCAGAGGTGGCCTTTGGAAGCAGGGGCTAACTGGTCACAGTTGCCGGCCTGTTTTATAGGTGTGGGGGGGCGCCCTTTCCCAATTTTCTGAGACACAAATCTTGGAAGCTTAACCACAGGGTGGATCCTGGAGCTGCCAGGTCCTATTGGTTGTTGACACATCAGAGGGCAAAGAGCAAGTTGGTCTCCCTGGGCTCTGCAGGAGTAGAAAGAGCTCTTCCCTTCTGGAACAGCCTACACTCCTGTGGTTTTTGTACTCAGAAAGGCGAGTCTCCCAAGTCAGAGGTAGGTTGTTTGGCCCACTGATGACTGAGTCTAGGCTTTTACTAAATTGTAAGTCTTCAGTTTTTGATTTTGCAGGTTTTGGGTTCAGCAAAACATGTGTAAAATTTACCATCTGCATCATCGTTTGCGCCCACAGTCCAGTGGCATGTGTCTTCATGTTTTGCAATTCTGTGCTTTTTCTCTTCCTATTTTGATTGCCGGCCTATGCCTCCCCAGTGCTGGGATTAAAGGTTCAAGCTGCCGCGTGGGTGCTGGGAACTGAACCTGGGTCCTCTGCAAGAGCAGCAATTGCTCTCAACTGTTGAGTCATCTTTCCAGCCCCCTCAGTGTAACCTTTTATTTGAAAGTAATTTTGCAGTTTTTATATAGAAAATTGTGATAAAGCTAACATGTAGAGTTCCCCTAGCTCCCTCTAATGTTGAAATCTTATATCTACCATCACATTATAACACAGTGCATAATATATGCCCATAATGTATATTTAATGTATAGCATTTACTATATAATAATATTTCAGTTGAGCACATATAGGAATTATATGTGGGATTACAACTGCTCAAACATCCCTATTACCATTGAGTCATAGTGAATTTCTCGAGTGTGTGATAACTGGCATAAACAGCACCCACTCTGTCACCTGCCCATAAAAGTCTAGCATAGGTGGCTCAGAGGTTAAGAGCGCTGGCTGCTCTTTCAGAGGTCCCAAGTTCAATTCCCAGCACCCACATGGTGCCTCACAACCATCTGTGAAGGAGATCTGGTGCCCTCTTCTGGCCTGCAGCCATAGCATACATGCAAGCAGAACATTGTATACAGAATAAATAAATCTTAAAAAAAAAAGTCTAGCATTACAATTATGTGCACGTCACAGTATTTGAGGATGATACAGTGTGTGACTGGCTCATGTACTCACGGTGCACTTTCCCAGTAGAGTGTGTTCCTTTGTGAAATGTTTACCGTGAACACATATGCTGGGTTACACTGCCCGCCTTGGGCATTGAGTATGTACTCTGTCCCTTGGGTGCATCAGGAGGCCATGGTTGATTGACTAACCGTGGCCATCTGGGTTTCTGCAAGTGCACCCTGTGATGTTTACTCAGTGACCGAATGACCCAGTGATGTAATTTTCAGAGTGTGTCCCTGTCATTAAGCGATTGTAGCTGTAACAAAGATCAGCACCAGCAGGCACCACACCGTTAACTGTTGCCCTGATGGTTCTTCCTTCTGGCTTGGGATCCAGCTCTGGATCCTCTGTTGCATCAAGTTGTCAGGTCTCCTTTGTGGTCTCTTCTTGGGACACACTATGCGTCTGTTTTTCTTGTGCCGTGAACATTTTTTAAGAAAGGCTGAGAGTTCTTGATGGAATACCCTTCTACTTGGATTGGCCTGCTAATTCCTCCTGATTACATTCAGGCTGTATATTTTTTGGGCTGAAGAAATGGCTCATCACTGTGTCCACGGTACACACTGTAGGAAGACTGCCATCGTGTGTCTTGATTGCTGACACCAATCTTTATTATGTGGCTCATGTGGCATCTGCTGGGTCTCTCCACTGAGAAGCTGCTTTGCTTTCTGACATGCAGCGGGGAGATTCTAGGACAGCAAATGTGCTTTCAAAACATCATGCCTCGGGTCACATCCTTTAATTCTTTCTTGCCTCCATCATTATTTTTGGTAGTTACTACCATCATTCTTTTCTCTTTTTGGTTTTTTGGGACAGGGTTTCTCTGTGTAGCTTTGGAGGCTGTCCTCGAACTCAGTCTGTAGAGCAGGCTGGCCTCGGAACTTGAAGAGATCCGCCTGCCTCTGCCTCCCGAGTGCTGGGATTACTCATGGGTTTTACTCTTGGGCTGTCCTTCTCCATCACTTACTTAACCAGTTTTATTTTTATTTTTAAATTTTATTTAGATGTATTTATCTTTGTGTGCATGAGTGTTTTGCCTACATGTATGTGTGTACATTGTGCATGTGCCCAGTGCCTGTCAAGGTTGTAAGAGAATATTGGATTCCCTGGAACTGCAGTTACAGACTGTTGTGAGCCACCTTGTGGGAATGAAATACACGTGTTCTATAAGAGCCCCTAGTGCTCTTAATGCTGAACCATCTCTCCAGCCCTTTATTATTTAAAAACAAGCATGCACACACACACACACACACACACACACACACTTATTACTCTGTGTGTGTTTGTGTGTGTGTGTGTGTGTGTGTGTACATGCCAATGTAGACATCAGAGAGCAACTTGCTGGCTTTGGTTTTCTCCTTTCTTCATTCTAGTCCTAGGGATTTGGCTCAGGTCATCAGGTTTGGCTGCAGCCACCTCTACCTTTGGAGTCACGTTGCCAGCCTCTAATCAGTTTTTGTGTTAGTATAGGTTCATGGACATTTATTCTGTGGGTTATATTCAATTGCACCGTTTATATTGTGGCTCACATGGTCTGAGTTGTGACAGTTTGGAGCTCCTTCAGGTTGACATGTGTGGGCTTTTGGGGAGCTCCTCTCCCTTGGAGCTCATCTGTGTTTCTTGTTTTAGAAGTTGTGTGAGGTTCATCTTAGGCTCTTCCCCACTGAGTCCCGCTGTCAGCCATTCCTCCTAGGAGCCTTGGTTCCTTAATTGGGTAGGGTGTTTGTAGACTGTAGCTGTAGGTGTGAGGTGTGCTGGGTGCTTGAGCTTTGATGACTCTTGACAGACTGGAAATGACCTGGAATGCTGGCCAACCTCAGGCAAATGTGGGCCACAGCTAGGCGGGACTTCAGACCCCTCCCCCCACCAAGTGTTGCCTTCCACAGATGAAGCCTGCTTGCTAACCGTCACCGTATGTCATGTCTCTCTTGAGTGCTTGTCAAATTAATACCACCGCTTAAGTAGCTTTAAAAAAATCCCAGTGACATTTGAGAAAGGAAAATCTCCATAGATGCTGGAGGAGCAGAGACCTGGGGATGTGAGTCATTCTAGCTCTAGCTCTGTCATTTTTCTTTGGATGCTTGGACCCCTAGCTAGAATCCCACGAGGCAGTGAGCAGAGGCACAGTGCAAACTGGTGTGGGTGGTATACATGGTTGGTCAAAGGCTCTACCACAGGCACTACACTTTGTGGTTAAAAGCAGCTTTTTGTTTGGTTTGTCTTTTGGGAAAGGGTCTCATGTAGCCCAGTCTGGCCTTGAACTCCTGATACCTCCCGCCTACGTGTCCACGTGTGTGCCACTCATGTTTTATTGAGACAGCGTCTGACTATGTCCTCCAAGTTATGATCCTCGTGCCTCAACCTTGGGAGTTTGTTCTTTCCTTCTATCACGTGGGTCCTGGGGACTGAACTGACATCATTAAACTTGGCAGCATAAGTGCCATTACCCTACGCCATATTACTGGCCTTAAACCTCTTTTGATATATTTTAGTCTGTTGCCAATACTGTTCTTACCGATGCTCACATTTTCCCATCTCTGAAGCCCCTAGGTGGAACCTTCTTATTTTAGCAATTAGATCTGTTTGTCCAGTTCCTGGTAATCTCTGATAGCTTGGAGAGCTGCTTCAGGCTTACTCTGTATGTTTCCTGCTCTGGATCTGTAACTGACTGTTTCCCAAGAAACAGCAGGGCCTCTGGGAAGGGAATGGCTTCAGAGCCCATGGTCTGCATGCTTTAATCTCCCTGTGCATAGGGCCAAGAACAGGCAGGTCTGTGTAGTCCTCAGTGTTCTGACTTGGTTTCTGTCTAGGCTGGGAAAGCCATTGGCCAGGGAATCATCCCCTTTGCGAGCATTTGATGTAGTTTCAATTTTATTTGATAGATTTGATCTTCAAAAATTTTTATTTTAGGGCTGGAGAGATGGCTCACAGGTTAAGAGCACTGACTGCTCTTCCGGAGGTTCTGAGTTTAATTCCCAGCAACCACATGGTGACTCACAACCATTTATAAAGAGATCTGGTTCCCTCTTCTAGCCTGGAGGCATACATAGAGGCAGAGTACTGTATATATGATAAATAAATAAAATCTTATTTTTTTTTAATTTTAATATATTTGTGTGTACATGGCATGTGCTTACCTGCCACAGTGCACATGTGGGGCTCAGAGGGTAAGTTCAGGTTTGTTCTTCTCTTTCGCCTTCTTGAGGCAGGATTTCTTTCTCTTTTCTTTTTTTTTTTTAATGATTTATTTATTTTTATTTTATATGCATTGGTGTATGTTTGTGTTAGGGTGTTGTATTCCCTGGAACTGCAGTTATAGGCAGGTATGGGCTGCTATGTGGGTGGTGGGAATTGAACCTGGGTCCTCTGGAAGAGCAGGCAGTGCTCTTAACTCCTGAGCCATCTCTCTGGGATTTCTTTTGTTCATTGCTACATATGCCAGGCTAGCTGGCTCTTGAGCTTCAGTAAGCCTTCTGTCTCTCCATCCCATCTCCCCAGAGAGATTTAGTGGGATTACAGATACTTTTGCTATGCAGACAACATTTACTGGGCTCTGGGGATTTGAACACAGGTCTTTAGGTTTGTCTGGCAAGCACTTTACCCACTAAGCCATCTATTCAGCCCAGTAGATGCTCTCTTATTCTCTGGGGTTTGCTTTGGATAAAAATTATGACTCATCTATCCTTGCTGAGGGACACGGGGTCCTGAGAACTAGTTGGCAGACACTGAACTAACTGGTCTTAGATGTGATGAATCTGGCATCACTGGGCCTGAGATCAGGACTTCCAGCCCCCTCATCAGTATCCAGAACTCTCAGTTGTGAACTCAGTGGGGTCTCACAACTGTGGCAGTGAATACTCTCCTAGTGTACTCACTAGGCAGGGGAAAAATTTGTTATTTATGTGTGCACACAAGTGTGTGTGCATGTGTACCACAAAGAGGCAGTTACCTGCAGAGACAAGAAAAGGTGTCAGATCCCCAGGACCTGAGTTGTAGGCAGTTGGGAGCTGCTAGTGTGGTAACAGAAACCGAATCCCAGTCTTCTGCATAAACACTTGCTTTTAACTTCTGAGCCTCCTCTCCAGCCCCAGAGACTTTTTTTTTTTTTTTTGCGCCACCCACTGGGTGAGCCACAAAGAAGACCATCTCTCTCAAATTGCTGCTTGGGCAGTTTTGTGATATGCGCCTCTTCTGTAGGTTTGGAAAACAACAAGCCTCATAGATGCCTGTGTGGGGTGTTGGGTTGGGCATAGGGAGAACAGCCCACTTTCTGGTCTCTTCCAATGGCATGCATGGCCCAGTGTTGATGTAGCCTCTTGCAGATGTGAGCTCAGGAGAACTTGTGTCCTGCTTGTGGCTCAGCAGCAGTTTAGGGAAAACTGACCACTGACCCCACTTCTGTTCCCTGTCACCTACTCACACTAGGACCAGTCAACATGTTTGCATAGTTCTTAGCATGATTGTGTCAATGTGAGTTAGCTTGGCTTTAATACATTTTTTTTCTTTTTCTCTTAGGAAAAAAAATGCTAAAATCAAGACAGGGTACAAGAGGGAGCATATCAACCTGGGCTGTGATGTGGACTTTGACATCGCTGGGCCCTCGATCCGGGGCGCTCTGGTGCTTGGCTATGAGGGCTGGCTGGCTGGCTACCAGATGAATTTTGAGACCTCAAAGTCCCGAGTGACCCAGAGCAACTTTGCAGTTGGCTACAAGACAGATGAGTTCCAGCTTCATACTAATGTGTAAGTGTGTGTGTGTGTGTGTGTGTGGTTGGGGGCGGGGGTTGCCTTAGTTACTTTACTAGTGCCGTGATAAAACACCATGGCCAGAGCAAATTATAAAAGAAAGTGTTTAGAGTCCTTGATGGCACAGTGGCAGGGACAGCTGAGAGTGAACATCTTGATCCACAGCTGAGAGGAAGAGGAAGAGAGCCTCAAAGCCTGCCCGCCTGTCCCCAGCGACACACCTCCTCCAACAAAACCACACCTCCCAATCCTTCCACAGTTCTATGGCCCGGTGGCCGAGCATTCGAATGGGGGCCAGTCTCATTTGGAATGCCACAGGAGGTTGCTTTTCTTTTTTTCTCAGATCAGTTTTTAGCCATTTGGGTCAGATGAGCCAAAGGGTCTGTTAGCAGTTTTGTTTCCCATCCCACAGTGGTTGATCAGTAATGCATAGGACTTTTTCTCTCTGTTAATGTGGTTAAAAGCTTACTGACTGTTGGATGGTGGGAGACAGGCAGAGGTTGCATATTAGGTTAGAGCGAGTCTGTCACTGGGCTTGGAGGTTGAAGGATGTTGACCTGAGGGAATCAAAAATTTCAACTGTGAAAATAATCTTATTGGGGGCTAGAGGGAAGCTCATTAGGTAAGAGCACTTGCTGCTGTAGGAGAGGATACAAGTTTGGTTCCCAGCACTCTTGTTTTGCATGGCTTACAACTACCTGAAACTCTGGGGGATCCGAGACTCTCTCTTGGTCTTTGAAGGATACATCATCCCCCATACATTAAAAAAAAAAAAGTAATTTTTGTTTGGCTTAATTTCATGAAGCACTAACTTGTTCTTTCCACTAGAGGGTGCTAAAGAAGTGATGTCTCACTTAGACCAGTAACACATTTATTTCCATTGATAATAAATTAAAGCATTCGTGTGTGTGTGCGCGCGCGCCTGTGTCTCAGTGTACATGTGGAGGTTAGAGGACAACTTGCAGGGAATCTGTTCTCTTTTTCCATATCCAAACCACAGACAGCACTTGCCTTCAAGGAATGTGAGGCCTGAGCTTTCCTGACCTTTCTGCCATGTTTCTTCTCCTTTGTTTCCCTTTACCATCTTTGACAGAATCAGTTGTGAAAGTAAAGACACAAACGGTAGAAAGTAGAACGCTGTGCAGAATCCTAATTTTCTAGTTTCTGCTTCCATTTTTAAAAAAACCTGTTTGTTTTTATTCATGTGTATGTGTGCATTTCTGTGTGTGTCGTGTGTGCGGGTGCCCATGGTGGCCAGAAGAGGGCGCCCGAGCCTCTGGAGCGGAAGTTCGGGGGCAGTTGTGAGCTGTCTTTAGGCTGATGAACTTCGGTCCCTTGGGAAAACAGCAAGTGCTTGTACGGTAACAGCCGAGCCCTGTCGTCAGCCCCATTTGCCTCGGTTTCTAAAAGAGCGTTTGGAAGCAAGCTTGAGGTTTTGTGCTGCTCTGGTGGTTGTCTGGATACCTTTGAGAGTTCCCTGTGACTGGGAGCAGTTTTAACTCTGAGACTGGTGTTTGTCCCACTCTTGTCAGGCTTCCTGTGTCTCAGTTCTCGTTTCATGAGATTTGGCCTTGGTTCAGTCTATTTCTGGCTTTCCCGCTCTCCTGTTATTGCTGGTGACTCTGCCTGGGTTTCAGCCCACGTCCCCGGGCAGCCAGCCGCTCATCTGTTGCTATGCTTACTTGCAGGAACGATGGGACAGAGTTTGGTGGCTCCATTTACCAGAAGGTGAACAAGAAGCTGGAGACTGCTGTCAATCTTGCCTGGACAGCAGGAAACAGTAACACTCGCTTTGGAATAGCAGCCAAGTATCAGGTTGACCCTGATGCCTGCTTTTCGGTGGGTACCCATGATTCCCTGGGCTTACGATTGAGAGAATTCCCGTGTTTCTGCTTAGAGCTTCTCATTGTGCAAAAGCCATTCTTGTGCTTAATCCACTTGAAACAGATACTAAAAAAGAAGAAGAAGAAGAAAAAAAAAAAAAAAAAATTGGCCTGGCTGACCAGGAGCTCGCTGTAGAGACTTCACAAAGATCCATGTGCCTCTGCCTCACCGGTGCTGGGGTTAAAGTCATGTGCCACCACAATTGCCTTCGTGAGGTTTTTTTCCCTTTTTTTTTTTTTTTTTTGTTGTTGAGATGGTGGTGGTTGCAGAAACAGTTTTTCTGTGTAGCCCTAGCTATTCTGGAACTCACTCTATAGACCAGGCTGGCCTCAAACGCAGAGATCTGCCTGTCTCTGCCTCCTGACTGTTGAGATTAAAGGCATGCGCCACCATGCCTGGCGCCCACGTGGTTTTTAAATCGTTGATATTTTTATTTTGGAGGAGCTGAACGCTTATGGAGGTTGATTGGGTAATATCTTTAAAGGCACATGGCACAGAGAAAGTGCATCCCCAGCCCTGGTTTTGAGCAGGCACTATGCTATTGAGCCTCTTTCTTTAGCCCATCACTGTCCCATCATGCAAACTGTATTCCCTTAAATGTTTTATTCTTGCCCTCATTTTCATTTTGTTCTCAGTCCTCGTGGCCCACATTAAGGTGTCAGTGGTCTGGATGGTGTATTCTGGTGGTAGAGCCCTTACCTAGCATGTGTGAGGACTATGCTTAAGCCATATTACTGGGGGAAAAAAGCAAACCCTAACAAGGCCAGGGCTGTAGCTCAGCTGGGAAGAGTACTTGCTTCACATGCAGAAAGCCTGGTACTTGGTCCCCAGCACAGCAGAAACAGCAGGCAGAAGGATCAGAAGTTCAAGGCCTTCCGTGGCTATGATGTTGCAAGTGTTCAAAGGCAACCTTGGGCTACATAGTGAGAGCACACCTCTAAAAATTTTAGTCAGTGGACATCTTGTCTTGCCTACCCCATGGCACTGGTCAGAGGACCCGAACTGCAAGATTTTGTGGTAAACCAAGTTGAACTGGCCTCTATTGTCACATTCTAGGTGGCCACCCTTTTGGATGGCGTGAGGAATTGTCTTGTTGCAGGATGTTTCTGCTGGTTGGTTTAAGTCACAGATAGGCTGTTTTAAGTCTCCTGACCTGGGAACAAGACTTAGCTCCCCTCAACATCAGCCATGTGTGTAAAACCAAAGGATGAGGGGCCTCCTTGTTGGGATGTCGGGAGCATAAAGGAATGGTTAGAGGGGACGTGGCCTGCCAAGAGCCCTTATTCTCCTTGCTCTGTCTTTGGGAGTTCATAGAAACGGGAGAGTTCATGTGCCTGCATTTGACACATCTCATATTGAGTTTCATGAGGTGGCCGTGGGCAGGTACACTTTGGTTCTGATAGCTGGGATCTGAGGGAGAAGCCCTTGCTCGTTTTGGAGGTAAACATGTGGGATACTGTTTTTACTTGGGCTAATCTTTTCTCTTTCAGGCCAAAGTGAACAACTCTAGCCTGATCGGTTTGGGGTACACTCAGACCCTAAAGCCAGGTATGTGTTGCCTGTGTGTGAAGCTAGTTCTCTGGTTAATTTTGCTGATTTCTGCTCTTGCTGTGGAACACTGTAAATGAGTGTATATAAGTCTTTAGAGTTGAATGTTTATAAAGGAGTTGTGGGGTCACTGTCAAAAGAAAAAAAAAAAAAAAAAAAAAAAAAAAGAGTACGAGAAATAGCCAGAAGGAAAACACTGGTAAAAACCATGTCCTTTCTGGTTATTTTTTCCCCATCCTTATTATTCCCAAGCAGTTGTCAAATTTTACCTGTCAGTTGCCCTCACTATGGAAAGACAAGGGTGTAGAATTAGTGTGAGGGCTCCCGGGGATAATCCCACTTTTGAGCCCTCAAAGGCTGGTGATGTGATGTGAAAACCAAGTTCTTCCTGGGAAAATCAGCCCGTTCGATCTAAAATTACTACGAGTAAGTACCAGGAAAAGGAATTTGTTGTCTGTGTGTGAGTATGGGTGCATACATGTTAAGAAGATGAATGTTCAAGCCTGATACAGGACAGGGTTTCCTTTGAAGGCAAATATTGCTCAAGCAGCTTACGGTATGGTACCAGATGTCCATTGCTCTTTGTAATGGGGAGAACATGACAGGCAGGGCAAGGGGAAGTGGATGTTCTGCTCTGGGTACCAGTGATGCCTTTGCATATGTTCATCTGAGGATACCAGCAAGCCAGGGTGTATTACAGAATGTACCTGAAGAGTCACCTTGTCTGGCCGTTTGGCCACTGCTGATTGTATCTGGAACAAATTTCGACTTTGGTATTAACCTCTCCTCTCTTTCCTTTGTCTCTTCCCCCTTCCCTCCTCTTCTTCCTTCCTCCAACTGTCACCCCTCCCTCCCACATCCTGTCTCTCTGGTCCTCCTGCAGGTATCAAACTGACACTGTCAGCTCTGCTGGATGGCAAAAACGTCAATGCAGGTGGCCACAAGCTTGGTCTAGGACTGGAATTTCAAGCATAAATGAATATTGTACAATCGTTAATTTTAAACTATTTTGCAGTATAGCTACCTTCAGAATTTAGTGTACCTTTTAATGTTGTATGTTGGGGATGCGAGAATTGATAAATGCCACGTTAGATGTCCAGGCTAAGGATGACTTGGCTTTAAGGTGTTTACCATTTCAGAGGTACAGCAGAAATCCCATTTTCCTAAAAGGTCCTCTTAGCTGTAGACGTGGGTTGGGGGAGGAGCCACTCCAGAGATGTCAAGCTGCAAGCAGAAGCTGGGAATGTGCGGGCCCTTTGTAAATCTGTGTCAAGTCCACAGGTGAAATTGTGACTTCCCGAGCATCGATCTTGGTGTCCTAATCCTAACTGCTGAGAAGCATGTACATACCTGTGTGAAAGGGACTTACTCTTTAAGACAGATCTCCACGCCCTGGTCCCATCCTAGCTCATCAGTTTCCTGTTTTACACCAAAAGTACTTCTGATTAGCTATTTCTTTTGTGCCATTTTAGGGTGGGTTGGGTGGGCACGATAGAGCCAGTCATTCGGGACTTAATTCTTCCTTGTGGTGTGGTTTCTTTTCCTTTCTTTCACTCTCTCTCCCGCCCCTGTCTTATTTTCCCATTACACCAGAGCATGAAGCGGCTTCCAGGATCTCCAGCTTTAAGCTGGGCGGGTGATTGTGGTCACACCACGACAACACTAGGGATATAAAGCGACCTCTGTTACAGCCTCACCACGCTATTTTTTAGCAGTTTAATGGGCACATTATAGAGTCTTCCATTTTGTGTGGAATTAGCTCCTCCCCTTCAAATGCTGTAATTAACATCACTTAAAATAAAACTTGAATAAAATATTGAGACCTCCTCCTCTCGTCATCTTTGTCAAGAAAATGTGAATGGCCAGGAATTGGTTTGGTTTTGTGTTTGCTTCTTTGTATTATGTACATGCTGTCTAACCAATCACCACTCAGGAGACTGGAGAGATGCCTCAGGGGTTAGGAGTGCTTCCTGTTCCTGTAGTGGACCCAAGGCTGCTCACAACTACTGCAACTCTGGGTTTCGGGTATCTGAATCCCTCTTCTGGTCTCCTTAGGTACCCACACACGACATAAATCTTTTAAAAAGCCACTTATGGTTGGGTGTAGCGACACAGCCTAGCCCCTTGGAGACTGAGGCCAAAGATACATAGTGATACTGTTAGACCTGAGCATTTGGGGGAGAAAAGACCAAATTATGATTGTTCAATTAAAGCTATATTTTGGGGACTGGCCAGCTGTTGTCTAACCCTAAGTCGGGTTAGGCTCCCTCTCTTGAGGTCCTTTTTATAGAGAGAAGGTTCCACGGGGATGCAAGAGTTGGTTGTTATACAATGGAAGGGGAGGAGCAGGGGTAAAGATATATGTCATGAGAACTGGGTTTCTCTGTAACGGCCCCGCTGTCCTGGGACTCACTCTGTAGGCCAGGTTAACCTTAAACTCACAGAGACCTGCCTGCCTCTGCGTCCCAAGTGCTGGGATTAACAACTGCCCACTTTAGGAATTTATTCTTAACTGCAAACAGGACCTTTAACCCTGCTGGGTGTGTTTTTCCTGTTTTTGTCTCCCATTAATTTGCAAGGAATAGTGTCCTGTGTGGGTGTCAAAAGAAAGGTTGAAGGGCTCAGGAGGCCCCATGTGTGAAGCTGCATGAGCTTAAGTGCACCATGTGTACGCACGCTGTCCCCGGAAGTGAGAGAGTGTTGGATCTAAATGAAACTGCAGTCACAGGCAGTCTGATTAAGACTGTTGGGAATTGGACCAGGGTCCTCTGCAAGAGACAGCATCAAGCACTCTTAAACTGCTGAACCATCTCTCTAGGCTTTCAAATAATAACTTTTTAAAAAATATAAAAATCATTGGTAGCACTGTTGTATGGAATAGAAGTCCAGGAAGGGTTGCCTTGTGTAGTGGTACCTTGCTTGTACAAATCTGTCTGAAGGTCAGAGAATGGAGCTTGCCACTAGCTAACCATAGAGGTCTGGAGGTCTATACAGACAGACAGGAAGTGAGGTAGCTGGGCAGAAACAGGATATAAGCCAGGAGAAACAGGAACTTGCTCTCTTGGTTGCTGAGATGCTAAGGAGGAAAGGTGTGGCTGTGGTTTGCTCCTTCTCTCTGATCTCTTAGCGTTTTCCTCTATGTCTGACTTCAGGTTTTTATTACTTAGACCAATTAAGAACCCCGTTTATAGCCTGGCTTCGTTCTCGGGTTTGAATGGTAATGTCTCCTTGGGCTCTGGCGTTTAAGTACATGGTCCCCAGTTGGTGCTGTTGGGGAGGCTTAGGAGGTGTGATAGATTCTTATCTCTCTGGAACTGTATGCCCAGATAAACTCCATACATTGCCTTGGTTATGATGTTTTGTCACAGCAATAATAGGGAAGTAAATACAATTTGGCTGTGCTCTTGTTCCAGCATGAGGCTTTGGGTCCTCTTCTAGGTCTACATGGTTGTGGTAGAATATAGTTATGGTTGTAGAATTGAAGTCCCTTGCTGGCTTGCTAACTGGAGGCTTACGCTGTCCTTCTCATCTCCAGTGTTAGAATAGCAGGACTCCCCATCTAATTCTTACTATGCTTCTCTTCATTTCTCTAGAACTGGCTGGCCCTTTTACCAGCTCGCCCATTAGGCTAGCCCCCCCCCCAAGGTTAACTGCCATGCAGTGTAACCTCATTATACTTACAATAATCATCATCATTAACAGGATTTCCCTTGTGGGCCATGGGGTGGGGTGGGGTCATTTTGGAGTTTACACTTCCATTTTTTTGTTTGCTTTTTAAGACAGGCTCTGTATAGTCCTGGCTGCCCTAGAACTCGATCTGTAGACCAGGCTGACCTTGAACTCACAGATTCACCAAAAGTTGTGCACCGCCACTACCCGACTGCAGCTGTTTCTTATAAATGAATACTTAGAGTCTGTCCAGAGGATTTGCCCTGAACAAAGTGGTTTCTGGGTCCATGTAGTCAAGAGCCAGATATAGTTTTAATGTTGTGAAGTGGCTGAGCACTGGTGGCAGATGGATCGCTATGAGTACCTGGCCTACAAAGCAAATTCAAGGACAGCCAGGACTGCAACACAGAGAAACCCTGTCTTGGAGGGCAGGGGTGGGGGGGGGAGATGCTGTGAAGTGTACAAAAGGCCCCCTGAGTATGAGAGAGATTTAATTCACCAGTTATTCATTGAATGCCTGCCTACAGTATGCAGTGTGTTGACTGGAATATCATTGCAAAATACCTTGAGTTCATAATATCTCAGTAACTAAAAGGATTTAGATGGGGCTGGGTGGCTCAGCAGTTAGAGCACTGATTGTTCTTGCAGAGAAACTGGGATTGGTTCCCAACTGTCTGTAACTCCAGTTCTAGGGGATCTCATGCCATCTTTTAGTCCCAGTTAAGTCTCAAACCCCGGCACAAATGGCTGAGGTGCCTATTTAACAAATCAAAGCAGACCAGGCCAGGTTCTCCCAGTATCCCTCAGTCCTGTTTCAGGGTATGGCTGGTACAGCCTCCCTCGGCCTCTAGACCCCCAACCCCCATAATTCTCCAGCCCGGGGCTGGACTGCCCTTTCCACAGAGCCCTTCCCTATATAATCAAGCCATTTTGGTTACCTGCTCCTTCTGTACCTTTGCCCTCATAGCTGCTGCTCCCTGTCTCTCCTTTCCCCTCCCCCTCTTCTAACATGACCCAGCTCAGTCTGGTCATGTCCACTCTGGGCTCTCCCAGATGTCCCTGCCTCTGACTATGCTCTTCCTTTTATCTAAAACAAACCTTCTCCACCACACCTAGGAACAGTCATGACATTTTTATTTCTTTTTTTCATTCAGTCTCTGATGACACTGTACTCAAATGCATAAATCCCATAAGACAATACATATACTTAAAAATGCATCTGAATCTGGGCAGTGGTAGCACATGCCTTTAATTCCCGCACTCAGGAAGCAGAGGCAGGCAGGTTACTGAGTTTGAGGCCAGCCTGGTCTATAGAGCGAGTTCCAGGACAGCCAGGGCTACACAGAGAAACTCTTGCCATGAAGAGAAACTAAGCAAAGCCAAAAAATGAATTCAGTTGATCTGTTATTGAGGACAAAAGAACACAGATTAGGGAGGAGGACAGAGGGTTTCACAGAAGTTGATCAACTGAAAACTCTCCAAACTGGCAGAAGGTAGGATTGAGATTATTCTCTGAATGCTGGTATTTTCTGGACCAGCAGAAAGCAAACCCCGGGGGGTGGGGATGGACTTGGAAGAACTGTACCTTTGCATGCTGACCTGGTAGGTTTGGGCACCATTCCATGTATGCAGGCTGTGGCAGACTGAATTGAGATGAATGACATCTTAGTTTTCTTAACACAGAGTCTGTGTTTTGGAGCTGTCTTGGGGCCAAACACATCAGATTTGGGAGAACACAGGCCCTTCTCTACCCTGCAGAGGCAGCTCAGCTGTCTCAGGGGAGGAAATCGAAGAGATGGCAGTGAACCCGAAGGCACAATAAATGGCAGCTTTATGCTAACGATTTCCCTGATAATTAATGAAATGGAATGTATATGAATTGAAACCTGTAACTATTTATTTAAGGAACAGTCACACAACATAGCCTCAGACACAAACACTGTACCAAGGCCCTAGGCAAACCTTCTAAATTTACATTTTCATATACTGAGGGTTTTGTTTTATGAAATGTAAAAGATGATAGTATTTTTTTTGGAAAATTTGATGTGATTCTCAATGGCAGTGTTTCAGTTTGACTTCTGGCCAACTTTCTTGCTTTTCTTTCCTAACACTACCACCCTGTTAAATCCTATCCATTCTTAATGTCCCTCACAAGAAAGTAAGTCCTGCAAGGGCTGGCTTGAGTCTGCTTTATCAGTGCAGCCTGAAGTATGGAAGAGTGTTAAATATTTGAGGAAACACTAAAGGATAAGCCAGGATGGTGGCTCATACCTGTAATTCCAGCACCTGGTGGTGGAGGTGCAGGAGTTCAAGGTCATCCTTGAGTACAAAGGGGTTTCAAGGCCAGCCTGGGCTACATGAACTCTTGTTTCAAAAGGCAAAAACAAAAGGGTGCTGGAGAAATTATCTAGTTAAGAGCATTTGTTGATCTTCAGAGGACCAGAGTTCTCAGCGGCCACATGGGGTGGCTCACTCCAGCTCTAACTCCAACTCCAGGGAGTCTGACACCCTCTTCTGGCATCGGAAGGCACCTGCACTTACACATAATTTAACATCCATTTTTCCTGGGCATGGTGGCATATGCCTTTAACATATTGTGTGCTGCATAGAAATCTCTAAGACATATGCCAGGGATGGCACATTTTTGGGTAAACTGCATGTTATTTAAGTCATCATAATTACAGATCACAATGCACTTTTAAGTGATGGTTTTTCAATAATATTTTTATTTACAAAAACAAACAACTAATTAAACAATTTAAGTCCCTATTTTTTTTTTTTTTTTTTTTGGAGGCTGTCCTGGAACTTGCTTTGTAGACCAGGCTGGCCTTGAACTCACAGAGATCTGCCTGTTCCTGCCTCCCAAGAGCTGGGATCAAAGGTATGTACTACCAATGCCTGGGAAAGTTCCTAGTATTTTTTTTTTTTTAACATATGGTACTGCATAAAACATTTTCCTCTATGAAAAGGGACCAAACAAAATTTACAGACATATCTCGAGTCACTCCTTTTTCCATGGTGGCATTAACTCTGCAGGCTCTCATAGGGGATTTTTTCTTTCCATTGGCTGGAATACACGTAGGTTCGTGCTGCTTCATATCACCTGACAACCCTTTGGGTGGATCTATACTATGTGCTCTCCTTGCACCCCCAGAGGGGGCTGGACAGATTGGTCTGTGGTTCCAGGGAGCCTTCATTGTCATCTGTTATCCAGTCTCCACAGATAGCAGAAACTTCATACTTGATTTTTGCATTTTGTATTGAGGACGTTGTACACTCTGAATGAACTGAAAAGTCCATAGTTTGTAAGGTACACCACTACTTTTTTTGTCCATTCATCATTTCCCATAGAACATGAAAGGATTTAATCTAAACGGTCAATGCCTTTCATGTGGGCATTGTATCCCTTGGTGCTTTCCATGCTAGGAGAAGAATAGCACCTTTTCTGGAAAACATTGTCACCTTTCTTCACTCTGGATGTAACATTTTCAAATTTGGTGGTAAACCTCTACTCTTCCTAACAGTCTCACAGACTCTAGTTTTGTTCTGTAGCAGCAATTCAGCAGTAGATGTAGCATTGAAATAATTATCCTGGCAGGTATGGTACCATATGCCAAGATCAGGCCCAAGGACGGAAAGAAGAGTCTCACACGGTTTCTTTCCTTCAGCAGTACATCTCTCCATATTGCAGATATAGCTAGTGTCACTATCACACACCATCCAAACAAGTGAGCCATATTTTGTTATTTTTGCTGGGTTGTATGTGCGAAACTTTACATGTCCTCTGCATTCCCTCATCCAAAGACAACGGTTGCTTTGGTTTGTATATTCTCGAAATTTATGCAGGAAATAATCCAGCACAGGTTGTGTCTTGAAAAGTCTCCCCTAGTGACTGTCCATTTGGTGTTGTCATTGAAATGCCAGAATGTCCGTATTTGCCCAAATCTATGGTGACTCATTGTCTGTGGAAATACAGGGGTGCATATCAAAGGATCTGTTGACCAATGGCCTTTCAAACTATCTTTTCTTGTTTGATCCATCAGAATAACTAGGAAATTCTTGGTGTCCTTCTGTGTAACCAGAGATCACTTTATAGTGTTCTAGATGGTGTTTTGCATTTTATTGTGGTTTGATATGATAGTTGGACAGCTCTTTGCACAACATCTCAAACAATTTATCACCAAAAAAGAGACTAGTCACAGAGGGTGCAGAGTCACATGGAGACGTAAATGTAGTGATCCCAGTATGACCTTCAAACATTTGTAAGAGTGGTGTTGCATCAACTTCAGACCAACAGTTATAGGAATACCTTGAAAGCATGTCACCTTGTACTTCCTTACAGGTCTAATATGGGTTCATGCAATTATATAGTTTCTTTCTTCCTTTTTTTTTTTTTTTTTTTTGTAATTTCCTGCATGGTTTCCACCATGTGGACAAGACAGTGCGTTGATATCTAAGGTCCTAACAGATGGTTCGTGAAAAACCAAGAAAACTTATGAGCGGTTCATAACACAGAGAAACTCTGTCTTGAAAAAGCAAACAAAGTAAGATTTATTTTTAGCTTAGGAATGGCTGTCTCTCTCTCTCTCTCTCTGTGTGTGTGTGTGTGTGTGTAAGTCAGGTGTGTAGTGCCTGAGCATAGCATATATTCTTTAAAGAACCTATTTAATTTAGTGTCTGGGTGTTTTGCCTGTGTGTGTCTGCACCAGTAGCATGCAGTCACATGGGTGCTGAGAATTGAACCCGGGTTCTTTCGAGAGGACCCGGGTTCACACCACATAACTGCATGTATCTCCAGTTTCAGGGGATCTGACACCTTCACACAGACAAAACAGAATGTGCATGAAATAAATTAAAAACAACAACAACAAAACAACCACCACCACCACCATCAGTTGAAAAATAAAAATAAACCCGCTCCATTAGTCTTTCTCAATCCCTTTTGCAACCCGGGAATCTCCTTGCCAGCCCCTCAGGGGATGCTGCGTCATCACGTCAGGACGTAGCTGTTGTGGGCACGCGCCTTCAGACGCGTACCTAACGTCATCACGCAGAACATAGCAACAGCGCAGGCTCGGGGCCGAGTCCGTTATGGCCGCCGCCGTCGCCGCCGCTGCCGTGGGCAGAATGAGCGGGGCTGCGCGAGAGAAGCTGCTTCCCGGGCCGGGCGCCCGGGGCCTCGGAGCGCTGGCGCGGTCGCTGGTGCTGGCGTTGTTGCTCGCGCCCGTCCTGTGCTCTGGTAATGGACGCGGGGATGTGGAGGGGGGAGGGCGGCGGCGAGGGACCGGGCCGGGCTCGACGGGGACACGGCGGCTCCCACTCACCGAGTTCCCGCGGCCGGAGCTGGGCCCGGGCGTCCGAAGCGCTCCCAGTGCGATCTCCCCAGGCCTGAGAAGTGGGGTCGTGAGATTCCGGGACTCGAGTGGGTGGGCGGGGACGGGAGGTGGCCGTGGTGTGGACAGTCTTGAAGAATACTGTCCTTGGAGGGCAGGGATCGGGGTGGGGTCCCTAGAATGCTTGAGAATGGGGAGTTCCGAGGTCTTGCAGATTGGATGGGAGACTTGAGGTTAGGGGACAAGCAAGGCCAGGCTAGTTTTGTTTTCCTCTGGAGAAGGTGAGGTCAGAGATAAAGATAGGGGCAGTGACCCTGTGTGCTGATTGAACTGATTATTTCAGAGTGGAAGAGGGGAGGGTTTTTGAGGGGTCCCATTTTTGAGGTCCGGGAGGCTCTGGTGCTTTTGATAGAGGCGGAGTCCAGGGGCGCTGGACTGCTGAGGGACTTGGGAGGAAGAGCGGAGTTTAGGGACAAAGGAGAGTCGTCGTCAGAAGATATACCCTTCCTTGCACTGGGGCTTAACTAGAACGCCTCATTCTAATGGATCTGTAGTATTTGAGTATTCTTGCAGATGTTACAACATAAATCAGGATATTAAAACCTTTATTGAAAATGAAATCTGTAAACTGTGATGGAAATTTAGTGGGAAAACCCTGCTGTAAAGAATTAAACATCATCCTGTTGAGTAGTCATTCCATCCAAGGTGCATTTGTTCTCTCCCCAAATCTCTTTGTATTGTTATTATTATTATTATTATTTTTCTGAGACAGGGTTTCTCTGTGTAGCTTTGGAGCCTGTTCTGTCATCGAACTTACAAAGATTGGCCTGCCTCTGCCTCCCGAGTTAGGAAAAGTAGGGATAATTTTCTTCTTTGCCAAGGGGAACTGTCTAGCCAATCACTGATTCCTTTATTACAGTGCTAGGTTGCATATACTTTCTTCAGCAACACTGAAGTCAGGCAGTTGACTGTCTTACCTGGAGAGTTTTGGAGTCTGTGAGGGAAAGACTGGCACTTACAAGGCTCTTTTAACGTTGTAAAATGTAATGAGGATTTCCGTGGTGGATGCAGACATTATTGTTTTGAACATTTATTGATCATTTAATCATGTAAATCAACCATCTGAAACTGTATTTTAGGGGTAATCTGACACCTCTGGCCTCTGTGGGTACTGCACCTAAGTTTGTGACACACACACACATATACAAACACACCCTACCTATCTACCTACCTACCTGTTACCTTTAAATTAGAGGCAGTACCGATTTGGAAAGGGCCCAGATGGAACATTAAGCACTCTCAGTGACACCTATGTTTATGAAGTTCAGACATGAAGTCGGTTAAATCAGCGCTGTCTGACTTTAGTTGTTGAGTTCTCCTTTCATCTGACCAGATGAATTCATCTTTGCATCAGATGTTTCAGATAAAGTCTTAGCTTATTTTCCTGTGCTGTACTTGTGTATTTTTTCCACATGTTTATTTCTTGACTTCCTTGGCGCCTAGGTATAGGTATTCACCAATGAAGGAGGATTTTGCCTGGCTAGGAGTGAGGGAAGGTCCTTTGGAGAGGCACAGTAGGTGTAGAGATGGACTTTAGGGTGCAGTGTGCATTGTGATGAGATTAGGTTGGATGGGAGGGCAATTAATGTTTGTTCACTGGATGCTGTGGCCTTTTAAGTAGGTAGTGTGGGGGGCAGTCAGGGAGAGGAGGGAATGGTCAAAGGGAAGATGCGGTTGGTTTTTGCATTTATTTACTTTCTCTAAGGGAAGATGAGGTTGGTTTTTGCATTTATTTTCTCTCCCCCCCCCCCCCCCCCCCGTGTGTGTGTGTGTAGGTGGAAGGCAGGGGAGTCAGGTCTTGCTGATGTACAAACTCCCTTACTTGCTGAGCCACTTCTCTGTCCCTCAGACTGGATCTTGTTTTATTTTGTTTTTGTTTTTCAAGACAGGGTTTTCTCTGTGCCCTGACTGCCCTGAAACTCGCTTTCTACTCCAAGCTTGTCTTGAACTCACAGAGATCCACCTGCTTCTGCCTTGTGAGTCCTGGGACTAAAGGCATGCATCATCACACCTGGCTCTTAAATCGGATCTTGAACACAGTTACTAAGACTGCTTTTTTTTTTTTTTTTTTTTTTTTTTTTTTTTTAAAGAAAGGGGGAGCTTGAAGATTAAGAAAATAAATAGTGTGCCAGTTTGTTTGCCTGCCTGCCTGCCTCCCTGTGTCTATGGGTATGTTGTGTTTGGTGCCAATGGAGGCCGAACATGGTTGAGTTGGAAGTGGTTGTGAGCTTCTCAGTGTGGGTGTTGGAAACAGAAATCCGGTCCTCTGGAAAGCATTTGTCATCTTAACCTCTGAGCCATCTCTCCAGCCTGCTAAAGGGAGTTCTAAGTAGAGGAGTGACCTCATGTACGTTTCTACAGGATGACAGGTTGCTGTGTTGAATGTGGACAACAGGGTTGGGGTGGAAGCAGGCAGATGATTGCAAAGCTGAGAGGATAGAGGCTTGGACTGGGCATTGACAGTGAAGTGAAAGCCTTCACATCTCACACTTGGTGCTAGGTAAGGCATTTATTTATGTGTGTGGGGGGAGGTTGGCGTGCCATAGTGGGAATGTGGAGGCCAGAGGGAACTTAGGGTTCACTCTTTCTTTCCACCATGTCTTTTGTTTAGTTGAATTGTTTGCTTTCTTCAGGTTGGAATTTTGAGAGTTCTTTATATCTTAGGAACACATACTTTGTTGGGTATGGGACTTGCAAATAGTTGTCTTTTTATCTTGTGGGGCTCTTTGATAGCAAAAATTTTTGTCTTTTGAAGAATACCAGTTTTCCCTTTTATGCCTTGTACTTTTGCTTTTTGGGTAAAATTTAAGAACCCCAGATTACAAAGGGTTTTCTCCTTGGTCTTTTTCTAGTTCTATCCTTTAATGTTTTATATTTTATATGACTCCTGCTTAGTTAATTTTTATGTAAGGGATGAAACCTTGGTTCATCTGGCTTGGTAGTGTGTGGATTACACTGATGGACTTTAAACATCATGCCAGACTTGCAGCCTAGAATAAACAGCAGCAACTCCCTCACATCCCATCCTCTTCCTCAGTTCTCTCTCTCTCTCTCTCTCTCTCTCTCTCTCTCTCTCTCTCTCTCTCTCTCTCTCTGTGTGTGTGTGTGTGTGTGTGTGTGTGTGTGTGGTTGAATGCAGGACCTTGCCTCACATAGCTAGGTCCATTATTACTTTGTGTGGCTGGCATAGAGAACCTGAGAAGACTTGAGAGGAGGCAGGGTTGATTGCCCATTATTTCAGAGGTTTCTGTCGGTGGTTGCCTGGTGCATTGCTCTTGCCCTGCCACGGTGATGGGGAACATCATGTAGATGGAGCATCATGAGTGGCAGAGGAGGCAGCTGACCTGTGGCGGTTGAATGAAAAGGGTTCTGGTGGTTTGTTGAAGTTCTCTGATTATCATTTTTCTGAGAGAAGTTAGACAGTGATGTCACCAGTGGTTTTTACCAGGTGAAAAAAAGGAGGGTGGGTACCAGAGAAGATGTTGGAAAATTGAGGATGCTACAGGGAGTAGGAAGGAAAATGGACTAGGAAATTACAGTATAACCACTTAGTGTTAAACACAGTGTAGAAACTTCCACATTGAATTTCAGATGGCATGAAAACAGTGTATTTATTTCCAGCTGTGGGCAGGTACATGATGCACTTGGGGATAGTGAGTTTGATTTAGCCCTTGCCAAATGAATGAGAGAGTGTGATGTGAGTGGGAAGGCAATTGGACATTGATACAAGAAGGATTAGAGTGGTTGGCCACAGCACTGAACCCTGTTACAGAGAAGAGAATTTATCAGCAAAATTTGGTGGTGGCCATCAGGGCCTGAAAAGGTGGGGATGGGTGTAAGTCTTAATGGATTGAGAAGCCTGATGCAGATGGGTTGGGGCAGAGCAGTTAACAGTGGAGTGAGAGGCTGATGGGGTAGGTTGGGGGCTGGAGAGATGGCTCTGTGGTTAAGAGCATTGAGTGCTCTTCCAGATGTGTGTCCCCAAATCAGTGATGCTTCTGGAGAAGAAAGGGAAACTAGTATGTGGAGAAGGGGTGTACCCCTTCTTCAGTCTGTGCAAGGGTATGGGAGAGAAACCAGCTGTGTAAAAGGGCTTCAGGGCCAGCATGTTTGGAAAGGAATCAGATTCTCAACAGAGAAGCAGGAGGAGAGAACTGGAGGTCCAGGGGAGGGTTTCTGTGCACGCCCAGCTCAGGTGCTTTAGAGGAATACTGATTTGTTTGTTTGGAGATAGGGTTTCATCTAGCCCAGGGTACCCTGAAACAACTAGCTGTGTAAACTGAGGGTGACTTGAACTCCAGAGCTCCTGATTCCACTGCTCACTGTTGACATTGCAGGTGCCTGGCTCTAATTTACTTTTAATATTTCTTTTTCTGGTGTTAGGGATCAAACCTAGTGCCCCACATATATTTGGCCATATCCCTAATCCTACTATCTTTTTAAACATTTTCTTTTTTTTGTTAGAAACTCTTTTTTTTTCTGGGAGACTTCTGTCCAGTTAAGATGCTGCTGCCCCCTTTTCTATATACAATGTAGATGTCATCTGTGCTATTTAATTGAGACAGTATTTTATATGAACAGTTGTTTTCTGTACATGGGCATATATGTGAAGGCCTGTGGCTTGTGTTTATAGACTGAGGGTCTAGACCACACACAATAGGGTTTGTTTGTTTCAGTAGTAATAGGTGGCCCGAAGGTCTTCGGTGGAGGCTGCATTCAGTTACAGACTGGGACACTGTTGGCTTCAGTAGCTTTCCTCTGTACTATATCTTATTGGTTCTGTCTGCGGTGTGGAGTTGCTTCTGTGAAAGTCTTAGCTGCACTTCAGCAAACCTCCTTGAGGAAGTAGAGGCACAAGCTGGACGATTGTGCAAGCATTTGGCTTCACTTTCCATTCAGAGATTGTCTTCCCATTCTTTAAAATAGGATGTTGCCACTTAGCATGCAAATTCTAGCTTCTGGTTCCAGTCCTTTAGAATTTAGTTGTTTTTTTCTTATTTTTGAAGAGTCTTCAAGTGTCACTTAGAAAAGCTGTCTACAGCTTGTTTGTGGCTTTGTATAGTGATTATATGCTTGAAACAGGACTTTTTAGAGTAAAAGCCTGGGTTCTGCCACCTATCCCTAATATGCAAATTAAAGCCAAGGACTGTTGAAAAGCAGAGCATTAATGTGGGGAGAGGTAAAAACCGAAAAAGGGGTTCAGTGACTCCTAAGTCCTGACATGAACTTTTAAATTATGCATGGGGCAGAGAGGGACAGATTGTGCATAAGTGAGCATCCTGGTCAGGGTGTAGTCTGGGGTTCTCATCTCTGGTTTGGTTCTGCAAGGTGGTCAGAAGTTAGTTCCTATTGCTTGAGGAGACTTGGTGGTTCTGGGGGTGTACTTCTCCCTGGTGGGTCACTGCTCTGTCCTTGGAGCATCTGCTTCACGTAGACTGCAGGGTGCCTTCAGGGTTAGGGCAGCGGCTTTTTTCTCTGCTTGCAGCCTTGAAGAGGGATGACGCAGACTAGATAGACATGTCCTTGAGTGCTTATCCTACCAACCTGCCGAGGGAAGCAGGGCACAGAAACCTGAAGGCCATTAACCTGTGATTAGTTGAGGGGTCAGTGATTTTTTTTTTTTTTTTTTTTTAAGCAGAGGCAGATTCTAAGTACCTGTTTTATAGTGTACTCAGTTTGTGCGTGTGTGTGTGTGTTTGTGTGTAGTAGTTGGTTTCTGTAACCCACTTGACCCAGGATTAGCCTCCTCTTTCTGCTAGGGGATGAGGTGGAGCCTGGACAAGGTTGGCTGAAGTCCAATCTTTGGTAAAGGGAAACAGTAGGTAGGGGTGACCTGGGGTCTGTGCAGACTTTGCCCAACCTGAAATTACATGCTTGCTTGCTCTTTGAGTAGCAGGCTGTGCCGCAGTGGGTCCCTTACTCTGTTCAAGTTTTACTGAGCAAAGCAGTTACTACCTGAGATTAATTGACCAAGAAGAAACAAGTGAATGCTGCAGGAATTTATTATGCTGAAGAGAAATGCTTAGTGAAAAATTCAATAAATACTGTTTTCTCTTAATAGAGAAAAGGTTGGCAATGTTGGGGTGCTTTTGTTTTTCAGATACTCCAGAGAACACACCACACAACCCCACTGTTCCTCCTCCAGCTGCACCAACACCCAGAAACAACACTGAACCTTCTATTTCCCAGATGAGTACCACTGTTCCTCCCCCAGCCAGTACAGAGAAAAATGGAGGCACCTCTGCAACACCCACCCCCTCAGCTGCTCCTTCTGCGTCGCAGGACCAGGCTGATAGCAGTGAAGATCCCAGCATGGAGGAGGAGGATCTTCTGGCACTCAACAGTTCCCCATCCACAGCCAAAGACACTCTGGACAATGGTGACTATGGAGAGCCAGACTACGACTGGACCACTAACCCCAGGGATGAGGAGCCTGATGATAACATAAACATAGAGATAGACGGAGAGAACAGGCGCTTCAGGGGGTTTGAGGACTCTGTGAAGGTGGTGAAGCTCCAGCCCCCAAACAGAGAAGACAGTCATTTCTTTTTCCATCTCCTTATTTTTGCTTTCTGTGCAGCTGTTGTTTATGTAACGTATCACAACAAAAGGAAGGTAAGTTGGGATTTTTGCTCCTTCTGTAATGCTTCATTGTCTTAGTCATACTTGTATAAATTCTTTCAACCAGGTTGAACGTGGTGATAAACTGTTAACATGTCTAATAAAGTTATGAGTGTGGTACATTAGACAAATTAGGAATAATGATGCACTTCTAGGAAATTACTTCATGTTTTTTTTTTTTTCATAGTGAACAAAATCAAAGTCTTATCGAGTGATTTTTTTTTTTTTTTTTTTTTTTCCCCCAAGACAGGATCTTACTATGTAGCCTTGGTTGTCCTGGAACCAGCTTTTGTAGACTAGGCTGGCCTCAAACTAACAGATTTGCCTCTCTCTGCCTCCCGAGTGCTGGGATTAAAGGTGTGCCATTGCCTGGCTCATACATATTTTCAGAGCTGACTGTTTAATATTGGATGACAATTGGTGTGTTCTTTCCAGCTCTCAACATTCCTTAGTTGCCCCCCCCTCCACTGTGACACCATAACATTTTATTTAAAAATATGGTTTCATATTTACATAATTGATTGGGCTCTGTTTTTTTATTATTTTATCTTATGTGCATCCGTGTTTTGCCTACATGTATGTCTGGATGAGGGTGTTGGATCCTCGGGCACGGTAGTTACAGACAGTTGTGAGCTGCCATGTGGGTGCTGAGGATTGAACTTGGTTCCTCTGGAAGAACAGCTGGTACTCTTAACCTCTTTGCCATTTCTCCAGCCCTGTGCTCTGTTCCTATTGGACAGTTAGATGATTCCAAGTTTTGGTTCAGAGGTAGCACGATGGTGACAATTTCTGTGCTGTATTGCTTTCCTGGGTTAAAGGAGGAACCTAATAACCTAGGCATAAGCTAATGGGGGCTACTTAGTGCTACTGAGTAGTGAACCTTTTGGAATGCTGAAGGAGCTCAAGCAGTTTCCTCCATATATGATGCTCTCAAGAGCTTGGTTCCTGGGACTCAAGCTGCCTGTCTTCCTCTTTGAGGCCTTCATTTTCTTACCTGAGAAATGACAAAATGGACCAATTAATTTCAGAATGTCTTCCAGCTGTGAGTATCGGTGGCCCAGTGACAGGAATGCAGCAGGCAAACCCCTGGAGTCCCTTGTTAACTGACTTAAACTTAGTGTGCTGACACTTGGCCAAGTCGTCTCCTGGTCTCCACCCCACACTCACTGAGATGCATCGTGCAGCCTTGTTCACAGGGCTGGAAAAGGGTGTTATTTTATTATTGTGATACTAGTTTTTGTGTCCCAAAGCCTAAACAAGATCCTGTACTTGTTAAAAAAAAAGTTACCAGGGGCTGGAGAGATGGCTCAGAGGTTAAGAGCACTGGCTGCTCTTCCAGAGGTCTTGTGTTCAGCAACCACATGGTGGTGGCTCACAACCATCTGTAATGAGACCTGGTGCCCTCTTCTGGTGTGCAGGTATGCCTGCCAGGATCCTGTATACATAATAAACAAACAAACAAATAAATAAATCTTTAAAACAAAACAAAAAAATGTTACTGGATAAGTTTTCTCTTTGGCTTGTCTAATTGTTTTGTTTCATTTCAGATTTTCCTTCTAGTTCAGAGCAGGAAGTGGCGTGAGGGCTTGTGTTCTAAAACAGTGGAGTACCATCGTCTAGACCAGAATGTGAGTGAGGCCATGCCTTCTCTGAAGATCACCAATGATTATATTTTCTAAAGCACTGTGACTGGAGTTTGCTTCTCTGTCATTTTATTTGCTTGACTTTTGTATGATGTCCTGCAGAATTCTGCCACAGGCAAGTGGTACCAAGAGGGGGCGCTCTCTTTTGCCTTGGTGCTTTGGGAACTAAATGTCACAAACAAGGAGTATATAATTTTTTTAATCTGTTCTGTAGAGCTAGATTCAATCAGGTATCTGAAATGTGAGTTAAATGTTACCTTATATTTTTGTGTAGTTATTATTTTCCATTTATTGTGCCTCTGGTAGCAGGGTTCCCTTTGAAAGACCCCAAACCGGAGCTAAAGGCTCACGGGGCCCAGCACTGCCGGTTTGCAGTGCTCGCTGACATTCACATGCTGTTTTTCCTCTTTCCTTTATTCTATTTCTAATTATTGAGATAGGACCTCACTAAATAACCTAAGCTGGCCTCGAACAGTTGGTCTTCTTGCTTAGGAGTCTCAAGTGCTGGTACCACAGGTATGGTCGTCCCACCCACTTCCCGATAACATATTTTCAAACACATTTTTTTTTGTGTGTGTGGTACCAAACTTTAATTTACAAGGATGTTGTGATATAATGCTTTAAAGTAACATATTTTCCTCTCTTTCAAAACTGCTTTGAAAGATGATGGTAAGTGGGCTCAGTTAGTGAGGGTGCTTGCCGCCAAGCCTGACAGCCTGAGTTCAGTCCCCAGGACCTGCATGGTAGAAAGAAAGCGGGTTGTCCTCTGACATGTGTGCCATGGCATTTGTGCACCCACACACATGTGCTTACACACACACACACACACACACACACACACACAGTAAATAAATGTAATTATTTAAAGGAAAAAAAAAAACCTCTTTGGATATTTTTTAGGCACTTAAAACAGTGTATGATAATGTGACTGCTGTTTTACCAATCACATGTCAAACTTGTTTGGGAATTCTTGCAAAATAGACTGCAATTCCCAATTCCTAGTGAACACAGCTGAAATGTTAGGTAGATAGCAGTTTTTGGTTTGGATTACTGAATGAAGGTTGGGTAGAAATTGGTAGACTATTTAACCTGTGAACAACAGTTACTTTTAGTCTGTACTTGATTTTGGCACAAGTTCCAAGGGTTCAGGCGATGTGTTTCAAACTTAGATCTGATTTTTTTCAGTTTGTTTCTTGCTTCACAGTAAATTTGAAGAGACTTTAGAGGCCATTATCACTTGAATGCTACTGTGTCTTAATCCTGCAGTTAAAGTGATAATCTGGATAAAGTTTACACACAGATCTGTGTAACAGTGACATTCAGACTCCCTGCCATGTTTTTATTATGCTGCCCCTCCCCCAGCAACTGGAATTATTTACTGTATTTCATGTTAGCCTGATTTTTAGAGTTGATCAGAATGTAAATGTGTGATTTGAGCTGTGGTTGACTACCAAGCTTCATTACAACTCTCCAGAAAGCATAGCCTTTACTGTGTTTGTGTGCTCAGTAAAGCGCAGGTGAGCCAGCAGCCATGACCCCGGCGCGGACACAGAAGCAGGCCTGCTGTCCTTCCCCTTCAGGACAGTTGACTGCAGGGTGGGCGGCATAGTGAAATATACCTGCACTGTTTTATTGCAGTAGTTTTTTTCATATCTGAAATTGTATTATTTAATATTTTGAATAAGATTTTAAGAAATAAATGGTAAAGTTATAAATCTGTGCTTTTATAAGTGTGTTTATTACAATGATACTTTTGGTGGCTACAGGAGGCCTGTACTGGGAGGAGTGAGCCCTAGCCAGTTGCTGCAAGGTCTGCTCAGTGGAGGAACTCTACCTCTAGGATGCCACTTACATTCTGAATTCTTCCTTAGGTCTAATTTGTCACTGCATCTGATAACACTAGCAAACTAGGATGGCAACAAAAGGCTTGCGGGTGACCAATGAGCGCGTTTCAGGCCTGGGCTCCCTGTTGTCTGTGTGACGCTCTCCAGACCATGAGGATCAGCTCTGGGGGGAGATCTGGGCTCTCAGGTACCTCCTGGTGGTGGTGTTCACTGAAGAAGGTGCTGCCTTCAGCAGCCTCTGCCTTTGGGAGTGCCAGGTTGAGCACAGGGTGACCACACTGGGGTTTGACAGCACCTGAGCCACTGGGTGAGGGACGTTGATCCACGTTTGAACCTCAGCACTGATGGATCCACCTGCACTTGATCTGCTCACTTCTGGACTGGCGGCCTAGAGCCTCTGCCCAGGCTTGGCCTTACTTAGCTGCTCTCTGTGTTAGCTGAAGAGGCATGTGTTAAAACTTGTCAGGTGTGTGTCTGTGGGCAGTCCTGTCATTTCTTGAGAGAACATTCTGCCATGTGTAACCATGCCTGCCTTTGCCGGGGCTTCTTTGGGGGTGAGGGCTACTCATATGGATTGTCCTACAGACTGAGCTTGAACAGGAAACGTTGTTGCCTCCCCCACCCCCTTCCAGCCTAGCAGTTTCCACACTCTTTTAAGATAAAGTATCTGAGGAATTAGAGGCAGGCAGCCCCTGGCTCCTCCCAGGATTATATAGTTGGTATCTAGTCTACCACAGCTACTAGTATTCAGGACACACCTGTGTAGGTAGAAGTTGCTATCCCACCCTCCAGTTCCCAAATAACCGACACAAAGGCTTAATATTAATTATAAGTGCTTGGCCAGTAGCTCATGCTTGTTATAGCTCTTTTTTTTTCCCCATTATTTATTTGCATTGGTGTTTTTCGGGCATGAATGTGTGAGGGTGTCAGACTTGTAGTTACAGACAGTTGTTAGCTGCCATGTGGGTGCTGGGAATTGAACCCCAGGTCCTCTGGGAGAGCAGTCAGTGCTCTTAACCACTGAGCCATCTCTCCAGCCCCTTATTATTAGCTCTTAACATTTTAAGTTAACCCATAATTGTTATCTGCCCTCTGCCCTGTGGCAGTACCTTTTTTTTTTTTTTTTTTTTTTAACACTGCACTTTTCATCTTGCTTCTCCCTGGGTCTACTGGTGACTCCTGACTCTGTCCTCCTTCCCATCATTCAGTTTGATTCTCCTGCCTAGCTCTATCCTGTCCAGCTATTGCCCACTCATTTTCTTAAACCAACCCTAGCAACATATGTTCACACAGTGTAAAGGAATATTCCATGCACCTGCCCACCCCGTAGGTAGGAACCAGCCTTCAGAGTGACAGCTGATACAGCCCTATAGGAAGATAAAGCATACACTGATGGTGAGGTCTGGGTGGGGTGGTATTTGGATCTGGTCAGAATTCTCACTTGGTGAGAGCACGTGTGTGCGTGCCTGCAAGCCTGCATGCCTGTGTGCAGTGTTGAGGCTGCACTTGGGTTTTTCAGCCTTGTTTGATGCTGCAGCAGCTTGTATCCAGTCTGGGATCCCCCATGAAGCAGTTGAGATTTGTGTAGCCTCACTGGGCAGAGTTCCAGCCAGATGATACATAGTGTAGCAGTCTTCAATTTGTTGGGCTCTATCCACTTATGTTCTATTCACTCTAATTTAGGAGGGGAAGTGTCCAAACAGACATTGGAATCAGAGTGGAGACTGTTCCAACATGTCTGTGGTGGTAACCTGCTGCCTGTTGCTTCTGATTTGGGGCAAGCAGCAGTTTCTACCTGATGAGCCAGCCCTAAGCCTAGTGCTTCTCCACTCTAAGAGCCCAGGCACATTTGCCGCCTCCTCACAGCGCCATCTGTTGGCCTAATGGTGTAGTGAAACCTAGTAGAGAACTCCATGTGCTGGTAACTAATGTCCTGACACCTTTTTGTCCCACTTCCTGGTGCATAGATGGATAGCACTGAAACCTGAGACTCTCCAGGAGGGTTAGAGTCCTTGTGTGGATTAGAGCTACAGTGTGCCTCGAAGTCACAGGCTTCCCCTCTGGATCTGGCCCCTAGGCTGAGTCCTCCCATTGACAGTCTTGGGGAGAAGTCATTCATGTCTTTCTTGGGAGGGAGAGAGGTATCTCCAGGCTGGCTTAAATATCTCATCCTTGTGGCCACAGAAGGGTCAACACAAGCCTTGGGCCCACTGGAAAGGGAAACTGCAGGAGTAGTCTGTAGTCCTGGGGTTGCCTTCTCGTTCCCAGGGGCTCCTCTGAGGCTCACAGCTGGTCAGAGGTGAGTTTGTGCCGTGCTGACCCTTTCGAGCATGTGTGGCCCTGCTAGGAGACAGATGGTGACTCTTTAGAGCTTTATAATCTCATTCTTCTCCATCCTTGTCCTGAAATAAGGTCAGGGGCCAATGGGATGGGAGAGGGATGGGGAGAGAGGGAGAGACAGAGAAAGACAGAGAGAGGAGGAGGGGTGGAGAGAGAGATGGGAGGAAGAAAAACTGACTTTGGGCCCCTCTCCTTGGGGAGTGGGACTGAGTGAGACTCAGGCTGCAGGCTTGCTCTCAGGTGCACACATTCTGCCATTACTTGGGAAGACTTATTTATCCAGCTCAGCATTCTTTAGTTGCCTGTAGTTCTCCATAAGATTTTTCCATTCTGTGTTAGCACGTCTATTGGTGTGTCCTTGTTCCGGTATTGTTTGGGCAGCCATGTTGATGAGCCTTGACAGGTGTAGCTTCTCTGACATTTCCAGGAGATGCAGTCACACAGCAAATTCCTCTGGCACTTACAACTTTTCTGGTTCTTTGCTGTGAAGACACCGTGACCACACCAACTCTTATAAAGGAAAACATTTAATTGAGGCTGGCTCACAGGTTCAGAGGTTTAGTCCATTATTGTCATGGCAGGAAGCATGGCAGATCACAGGCAGACGTTGTACTGGAGAAGGAGTCGAGTTCTACATCCAGATCTGCAGGCTGCAAGCAGAGAGAGTGAGCCCCCTGGGTCTGGCTTGAACTTCTGAAACCCCAAAGCCCATGCCTAGTGACAATACTTCTGAGACCGCATGTCCTAATTACTTCAAATAGTGGCACTCCCTAAGAGCCTATGGGAGCTATTTTTCTTCAAACCACCTCATGCCCCTTTGCCACAATCATCCTTGAGCCTTAGGAACAGGAGTTTGATGCTCTCACGGGGCACCACGGGGGTCACGTGTTCTCTGCATTTTGATCAGGTGTGGGTTTTCTGTAATGGTTCGCATCTGTTGCTAGATGTTCTTTAATGAGGGGTGAGACTTGCGCTTATCTGGGTATAAGGAGAAATACGTAGAATGTAGTTAGGAATGTAGTTATGCTGGTTTAAGAAGTACATTTTCTTAACTGCCTAGTCATCTTCCAGCTCCTTTTACTGCTTTTTTGTTTAATTTCTCTATCCATTAATGAAGTGGTCTATGGAAGTTTCCAATTATTATTACAGCTCTGTATCTAGTTATTTTTTAAATAAAGTTTTATTTACGTTAAAAACTATCTTCTTTATGTACCAATCCCAGTTCCTGCTCCCTCCCATCCTCTTATGCTCCCCACCAAACCCCCATCCCACGCCCCATCCACTCCCCAGGGAAGGTGAGGCTTTCCATGGGGGATCATCAAAGTCTGTCAAGTCATTTGGGGTAGGGCCTAGGCCTCACCCCTGTGTATCTATCTTGAGAAAGTATCCCTCCATAGGGAATGGGCTCCCAAAGTCCATTTACACACTAGGGATAAATACTGGTTCCACTGCCAGAGGCCCCATAGACTGCCCAGGCCTCCCAACTGACACCCACTTGAGGGGGCCTGGTCTGGTCCTATGCTGTTTCCCCAGATGTGAGACTGGGGTTCATGAGCTCCCCGTTGCTCAGGTCAGCTGTTTCTGTGGTTTTCCCCAGCCTGGTCTTGACTCCTTTGTTTATCATCCCTCCTCCCTCTCTACAACTGGATTCCAGGAGTTCAGCTCAGTGCTTAGCTGTGGATTTCTGCTTCTGCTTCCATCAGTTACTGTGTGAAGGCTCTAGGATGGCATTTAAGGTAGTCATCAATCTCATTATAGGGGAAGGGCATTTAAAGTAGCCTCTCCACTATTGCTTACATTCTTAGTTGGGGTCATCCTTGTGGATCCCTGGACATTTCCCTAGTGCCAGATTTCTCTTTAAACCTATAATGGCTCCCTCTATTAAGGTATCTCTTTTCTTGCTCTCCTTCTCTATTCCTTCCCTTGACTCAATCTTCCTGATCCCTCATGTTCTTCTCCCCCCTTTCCTTCTCTCCATCTCTTTCTCCTCTCCCCCCCCCCCCTGTGCTCCCAATTTGCTCAGGAGATCTATCTAGTTCTTGTCTGTGGACAGTTTGCTTCATATATTTTGGGACTCTGTTGTTTAGTTTACATATGTTCATAGTTGTTATGTCTTTATTTTTAATGTTTGAGACATTTCAATTGTTAGGGCAGAATAACTTCAAATAAGTAGCTTTTAGGAAGGATACAAAGCAGGCTGGAGAGATGGCTCAGTAGCTAAGAGCACTGGCTGCTCTTCCAGAGGACCGGGTTCCATCCCCACTGCCACATGGCTGCTAACTAAGGCCTATAACTCCAGATCCAGGGGGCCGCATCCCCCCTCTGGACTGTACCAGCACTGCACACGTATGTACACACTTGTACGCAGGCAAAACACCTATACACACAGAATAAAAATAATAAATAGTTTTGTAATAGAAGAAAGGATGCATATAAGGACATCCAACCTGCAGATTATGAGAAAATGAATATTACAGCTGGAGGGGGCATCAGGTGGCTCAGCAGGTCAAAGTGGGTGCTGCTGAGTCTGA